CCACGGGTAACGCCGACATCGACGATCTGCTTGTTCGGCATTGTGACACAGAGATTCCCATTCCCAGGCAAGATGAAGACCCAGTCATACAAGGTCCTGGAATATTTCTCGATGTAGGCCTCACCAAAAGCTTTGTGGAGATGGGGCATCTTGCCGCCTCCAGCTATACGCTCAACTATCTGCAAAGTATGGCTCTTCAGCTGGTGTGCAGCTTCTTGGACAAGTACGCTGCCAGCCCTGACTCCGCTGGTCAACATCTTCAGTACATTGGAGGACCAGGCGGTACTGGAAAATCCAGGATCGTCGATGCCTTGCGCTACGTATTCGCGGCCAGAGGTCAGCCACACCATCTTCAGATTACCGGCACGTCAGGCAGTGCGGCAGCCCAGATCGGCGGGACGACACTCCATTCGGCCTGCGGACTGGATACTCATCGCTCTCACAATGCACGGCCTCCAACATTCTCGGAAGCTAAAAAATGCACGTGGAAGCAGAAGCTAGCCCTCGTGATTGACGAAGTTAGCATGCTTGGGGGAGCAACTCTGTTCAACGCCAGCTGCCACCTCCAGTCGCTCCGCGACTGCCCCGATAAGCCATTTGGCGGGATTCCCGTTGTTCTCTTGATGGGGGATTTCTATCAGTTCGCCCCAGTGCTAGAGACAAGCCTCCTGGTGAACCGAATCGTGGATCCCGCTTTCGCCGCCCCCCTTGGACAAGCGACTATTTCCCACCACCGTGGCTACAGTCTGTGGCTGATGTTCAACACTGTCGTTCTTCTCGAGGAGCAAGTCCGAGCACGAGACGATCCTCAGCTAGGCGCTCTTCTGGACAGAGTACGGGCTGGGGTCCAGACACAGCAAGACCTTGACCTGCTCAACACGAAGCTCGTGGACCGCTCCCAAATCACCTTCAAGGATGGCTTGCGCGCCATAACACCGCTCAACCGAAACCGATGGAGCCTCAACATGGAAGCTGTGGCAGACTGGGCCCGGTTTAACAAGAGACATATCTCTATCTTCGTCTCGACCCACACCTGGCGGAGTAGAACCCTATCTCAGAATGAGATCGCCCAGACTATAGAACAAGGAGACGATTCCAACTGCAAGGTCCCTGGTATCTTTTTCTATGCCCAGGTGATGCCTGTAGTAGTCAACAAAAATATATATACCGGCTTGAAGATTGTGAATGGCGCTGAGCTTGCCGCTGCGGACGTCATCCCCGATCCGAAATCCCCAGGCTATCATCTTGCGGACGACGTTACCATCCACTTTGGCCCACCACTGGGCATATTATTACAGTCGCGAGAGACAAAGGATTTAGCTGTCCCAGCCCTCCCAACGGGGACAGTGCTCATCCGACCTGTCTCACACACCCTCAATCCAGCCAACTCCCACTTCAGGTTCCTATCGGGGAAATGCACTCGCCGGGGATTGCCGGTTGTCCCGGCCTTTGTCCTCACTGACTATAAAGCCCAAAGCAAGACGTTTGTGGTAGTACTCTTGGAGCTGCAAGGAAATCGTATGACCAATTGCCAACCTTCTAAATGCGACTTTACTAGTCTCTATGTGCAGCTGTCCAGGTGTAGGACACTACAAGGCATCAAGCTTCTCAGTCCCGTACGACACCAGGATTTCATCGGGAATAAGCTGGACCAGAGTATAGTTGATGGCATGCAGAGGTTGACAGATCTAGCAGCAGAAACGAGACGGATATTTGAAAGTCAGCGAAGCCATGCGTAGGACAGCGTGAGATACCATCCAAAAGATCGCCCGACGGCGAGACACAACGTTTCTGTTATTCAGGACACACGCCTAGGGCAAATTACGACCCCTACATCTCATAAGGCGACCTCACTGCCCGCCAATCATCCGGATCCTTCTCGCCTCCATTCCCCGGCCGGAACTCCTTCTGTTCCTCACAATAATCTTTCCACCACTCTTCGAAGGCCTCTCTATTGTACAGACTTCTCGGCGCGCCTTCTCCCTCGCCGAAGAGGTCCAGAATGCGGTCACAGTACATCCACACGCCCTCGAGATGGTGCGGCAGCAACGGCTTCATGTCCTTGCGCGCGACCACCACGGTGCCGACATATGACCGCCACTCCGGGGACGCAAACCCGGTCTCGGCGTCGATATTGAGATACGTGGCGATCTGGTTGTCGAGGTCGGCCCGGTTTGCGGACTGAGTGCCTACGCGGTAGAGGGCCAGCGGGACCTCGATAAGTCCTGGGACAGGAGGCACGGGCTGCGAGAAGACGGGATGATCTGCCTGGATCGTCGTGGCGGACCAAGGCGCGAATTTCAGTCTCTCAACGTCGCACCGGACGATGACGGCTTGGATGGACCCCGACGCGCTGTGTGCTGCCGTCGATGCCGGCGCAGCCGACTGGGGGGTGGCTGGAGCAGGTGCTGGGTTCGCTTCGACCGGAGGCACCTGCTGAGTGGGGGTTTGTGGCTCAGAATCGGTGTCTATGTTGTCCCATTTGGAGTAATCGATTGGCGCCATGGAGAGTGGCTCAGTACTACGACCTGAGGAAGATCAGGCGGTCAAAGAAATAAAGATAAAGATTTAATGTATATTTGCTATTTCGGAAGCTTTCAGTTTTGTTAGGAGAATTGATGAGTCAAGTTCTTAAAGTTCCAATGGTATCGAATCCTACGTCACATGGCAGATAAGGTTCTGTGCTGTAAGCCACAGTGATGCGAAACGAAAAACCTTCGTCCTTTACTCACCTCCCAAAGGACCACCTAACGCCGTATACCCTCAGTCAATATACCGAGCCGTCATCGAAGAGCCACAGGGAAATCAGAGGATCCGAGGGACGTTCCGAAAGGCATTGGCGGGCCCGCAGGGACCGGTCTCCTGTTAAAAGCTCACGTGAATCCCACGTGATTCTTAACAGAAAAATCCCAGCCAATGAAGACTTCTTTACACTTGATCTCGGGGGGGGAGGGTGAATTCGAGTTCATCCACATGTGCCAAATGAGAGTGGGAGGATTAGGACCATTAGAGGGACCCGGGTGTGGTATTAATCCGGGCCAACAAGAGGTGCAGTTGCGCTTCCGAATCGGGTAATCGCTTAATCCGGGGGTGAAAAATCCCAGAGCTTAAGAAGACCTTTCGTACCGAAAGGCATAGCCTAGCGCACCTGGCCCTATGAGGTTAGTCCTCCCGGGCGGAATAAATTTCATTCATTGCCTCCCCTCGGCAAAGCGTGCTTCAACCTTACCGTCACTTCTGTCACATTGTCAGACCAATCAGAGCCACCTAACCTTGACAACGCTGGAGAGTGTAATTTGACTTGACTGAAATCCCCAGATGCGGAAAGCCGGTTCCTTGGCCTCACAGCCAGGGAACCGGTTTGACACCTCAGGCCGCAAGGCCTTGTGGGTCGGAGCCCTTATGGCTCCGACCGTAGCTAGCTAGCTGAGAAATCATCAATCCTACATACCTTCACTTTGACCCTAGGTCCCTAGCCCTTCTCGTATCATCCCCGTAGCGACTCGACAAGGGGTCCATCTACGCAGTGCGGAAGCAAAAAAAAAGTATCTGATTTGAATGGAAAAGCCCCTGCCCATAAGAGATAGGACTATACCTCTCTCGTAGTTTTTCTCCGAGAGCTGCAAGCTGGGCCTCCGAACCACACAAGGGTTGGCTTGGATGGAGAATTATCCCTCGCTATAGTGAGACGTAGAGCGCGTTGCGGAGGTAGGAAAAAGGCACAATCTGGCCCTGACTGATCCTCTTAGCGAGATGGCCCTGTCTTGCGTTCACGGTGTTTTAGTCGGTAGTGTTGCATCGCCGTCTGTTCCGAGTTCTTGTCACATTCCGTCGGCTCCATTCAGGGTTGCAATCCACTCAACTTCAGGCCTCAGTTGAGTGGATTCAGGGGTGACACGTGGCGCCAAGGGGTTCGTGCACGAGTGCACGGATCACTAGGTGATGCTAAATCCACGGGAAGAGCCGTGGAATGGAGTGGATTGCAACCCTGGCTCCATTAGGAACATCTAGCATCCACTTCCAAGGTCCATCACCTCTATTCTATCACTTCTCCCGCACAGACGCGCCCGGACACATCTTCATAGGCTCGCTCGTTGCCCGAGCGCCCTTACAAGCCGGGGGAGAACATAGAGGATGCTCGCGTCAGATCTAGCCAACTCCCCAGTTCATGCAGGGCCTCGATCTGGCTTCTTGCTTGCGTGTGAGCCCTTTAGCTCCACAGATGCGTTCCCATACTCGTATGACGATATCAATCCCTCCAAAACATCAGGCTATGCGAGCAATAACTCGCCCACGGTGGGGCCACGCGCCTCTCGCTTGAACCGCCCTGCTTAAGCGACCCCATTCCACTCTAAAACCCCAGTGGGTTGATCAAACTGGCCTGCGGACGTTAGACTCTCACCTCTCCTCACCGGAGAGGTGGCATCAAAACCCTTAACTGCGCCGCATGCATACTCACTGTCCACTAAGTTAGAATTGTATAGAATGACAAAATAAGCCGGACAATACTACCCATTTTTTAAAATGGGGATTTCTGGCCCACTTTTTGACGAAGTTCCGGTTTTGACACCACCTCTCCGGTGAGGAGAGGTGAGAGTTTAACGTCCGCAGGCTAGATCAACCCACCGGGTAGACCACATCTCTCTATCTCGTTCCCTTTGTATGAGTACCACCATTTTGCAATCTACCAGGGTTGGATTTACGGCTTGAGTGTCTCAGTGTCCTCAGCATTTTCCTCCACTATTCATTCAATCTCGACGGTATATCTTCAAGGGGCGTCCGTCTTCGTGAATAAAAATCATTCTCGACAAGAATCACCACTAGGACTTACAGTAATTTGGATATGTGCAGCGGTTTGATGAGATTCCTTTCAGTCTTCTTCGGAACGGATCTTGAACATTCTTGCTTTACGTCTCTTTGTTGGACTCGAGGAATTCGCACACGACACTTACACAAACTACCTTACTCCTTCGTTCATACCCACAAAATCTCTCTTCACAATGGCACTTCAATTCAAGTCGGACTTCCGGTTCGATATGGACGGCAGCTTCAGCTTGTACAGTCAGCCCATGCCATACCCTTTCACCTCCACAAGCTTCTCCTCCGCCTCCTCTTCTTACGACCCTTTCACTCCTACACCTCGACACTCAACACCCCACGAGTTGTCGACCATGGAATTTGACAGCTCCTACAGCAACGGCTCTCACCGCGTTGAATTGGCTCTTCCCTCAACAATGGGCAATTTCATGTTTGGTCCTGTCGTCAAGTCGGAGCTAGAGCAGATGCCTTTCCCCGACACCCCACCCAACACTCCCATGAAGGGGGAGCTCACGAGCTTCAACTACACGGAGATGAACATGGAACAGAACGGCTCTATGGGTTCTCTAACACCATCGAACTCCTTTGGCATGTATGCCAGCTCTCCTGAGACTGTCATTGGCGCTACCTCCTTCATTATGACACCCACCCAGATGCTTTCGGGTTCCGAGGCCGCTGATACCTACTCGTCCTGGTCCTGCCCCAGCGACAGCCCGATCTCCTTCCCCCGAGAAGAGCAGTTTCCCGGCAACTACGAGGTGTTTGACATCGACCACCAGTCAATGTCTCCCTATCACATCCACGACCCGACTTCGCCAAAGCAGGTGCGAGCTCAGCGGAAGATGATGGTGAACCAGATTCAGCGCAAGACGACCGAGCTTCGGTATGCTCAGATCCGAACAACTAGGAAGCGATCCGTCAAGCCCGACTCTGCCCCTGTGGATGTGGTCCAGAGGGCCATGTGCAAGTGTGACTATCCCGGTTGCCACAAGGTGTTCCTACGTACAGAGCACCTCAAGCGACACAAGCAAACGTAAGTTTTTGGATATGTTCTAAACCTCATCATCGTCACCGAAGCCCATTGAACTAACAGATTATGCAGTTTTCACGGCGAGGGCCCCAACCGTTTCTCATGCGAGTTCTGCGGTAAAGATCGGTTCAACCGCCAGGACAACCTCAATAACCACCGCAAGCTTCACGCCCGACCCAACAGCCGCAACCGCGGCGTCGAGTTCATCCCTACCGCGGTGCCCGTTATCGAGGAAGAGGAACGCAGCCGGAAGAGACGAGCACCTCCCAAGGCCAAACAGCTCAAGAAGCGGGGTCTAGAGTACCAAGCAGGTGAGTTGTGAACAACGCTTTCACGGGTACCCTGCTTGAAGCCCGTGTCTTACCCTGGGGGAAGCTCCGAAAGAGAATTGAGCAGAGCGTAGACGACAAGAGGAGACAAGCAGGAAGCCGTCCGCGCCTATCTGTCTGGATACATTCACGCATACGTTTTACATACACAAACACCTAGCGGGAGCGGGGTGGGCAAACAAGAAATGGGACGAAAACAAAAGAAAAGCGCAAGCCAGAGCGTCATCTTGTTGCATAATTATATTTTGTTCCACACGTCTGAGTCCGTTGTCAAAGAGGGTTCAAGATGTTTATGGCTTTTGCTTTTCTTGCACTTCTGGGACGGTTGGTGACCATATTCATTCGCCGTTCTCATACGCCGCTTGAACCACGGAGCGCGGCTCGAACCAGTATCAATCTTACTTTTCGCCCTGAGAACCCATTTCACACGTTTCTCATTGTATTCTTGATGTTGAGAGTCTCTGGTGGTCGGGCATCACACAGGCAACTTTGATTGTGGGCGGGACGGGAGAAAGCGGAGGAAATCGCCTGGACGGCGGTAGGGGAGGAAACAGGGATCAATTGGAGGAACTAACCATTCTGAAATCCCAAAACAGTACTCTATTTGTACCAAAGTATCAAGCTTGTAATCTAGGCAATAATCTTTTACGTTTTTTTTTTTTTTTTTTTTTTAAAAAAAAAAAAAAAAACCTGCAGAGGGCGCAAAGGCCAAAGGGTGGTGGTTGGGCGGAGGGGAAGAAGCAGGGAGGCTGGGGGAGGAAGATGACAAAACCCGCCCAATTCGGAGCTATTCCTTGTTTTGGTATGATTCCCACTTATTGTTTTGAATCAAGTCCCACTTATTGTTTTAATTAGGTCCCACTTGCAGTGGTCTCACGACCCATTAGATATAGGGCATGGGACATAATTTTTAAGTCATCATATCCGCGGAGATCAATGTTTGGCTTCGGATTACTTGGTGGGTTTCAAAATCGGCCATCCCCTGGCCTTCATACCCCACGTGGGGGGGTGAATTGACTAGCAAAAAGAGGGGTTGATTCGCAAAAAGAAGGTACGTCCGAGCCCACCAAAGACCACATAGATGTGAATGTCACTTCATTTTGAGCATGGCTTCCCGTATTTGCAAGTGGACTTTTGGATACGTAATTAAGGATGCATCACAAGCCTTGAAATGACAGCTAAGGAGTCCAGGTTTTAGCACGCAAATAAGAGGTTATTCAGATATCTAATTGATCATTGAGAACCAAGGCTAATTACAGTTCCCCAAGGTCATCTTCGCCCTTAATAACAATAAATTCCTCAGCACTGCTGTCACCCTCGATCTCTTCTGTAACTTCAAGTCCATCCACTTCATAATTTAGTAAAAAGGCTTTCTTCTTACGGCGCTCTTGCTCTTCAAATACAATGAATCTCATCGCCTCGCCAATAACTTCAGTGTCATAAACAGGCGGCCACGGCATAACTGACTGCCAGTCTAAAAGCAGTTTGTTCTTGTTAGATTGGATCATGTACAGAGCATCTGATCGGGTGGTCACGACGTGACCACCCGGGGTCGCCGACCCGTTGCCGGGTACAGCCCGAATAGGAAGGCGGTCAGGGAAGCCTATAACCCCTGACCAACGCCGAGATAGCCCAGTTAAGAACACAGGCAATACACAGTGATCAACGGCTAAGTTATCTGAGTGCCACGCTAGCTTTCCGACAGTTCTTCTCGTGAAGCTCACGATGAAGAACATACCGGTTACTGAGCCACTCAGCGGAATCCTTACTACTGTTTGTAGTCGGCCCGCCTTTTTCCTCCAAAGAGCCTCCGCCGCCCAATCAACGTCCGTTTTCCTCCTCTTTCGTCCAAAAAGGGAACGTACCATCAACGCGCCGACCCCGCCCCGCCAAAGGACCGCCATTCGCCTTGCCTCTTCCTTTTTCATCGAAAAAGCCCCTTAATTTTATTCTTCACCGGGATCGCAACCATGAACTGCGCACAGGTTGCCCGCCGCGCCCCCTGGGGAAATGAGAATCGTACATAGAATAGGAGGAAAAGAATAGAGCTATTGCAAGGAGACTGGACTTACCACCGCCACCACTACTACTACCACTACTACTACTACTCCTCTTACATAGTATAGTACTTTATTAGGTGCATATATATTCTATTCCATCATCTATTATTATTTATAATATATCGACACCATGTCCCTACCCACGCTTCGGCCTGCCCAAGTGCAGCAGCCACCGCCGACGTATCTATCGACTCCGCCACCTACGAGCCCTGCCTACGCGCCGCTCAAGGACGGCCCACCCGGAAGATGGCCAGCTGCGCCCACGCCTATACGAAGATACAACGATGTATTGCTCGCGCAGGAGACGGCTGAGGACCGTCGCTTGCAAGCTAGAGCCGACCGGATATGGTGAGAGAGCCAAGAGTACTCGTGCGCCGAAGACAACGAGACGACGCCTTGGCTGAAGCATACGAGGTGGCCAGAGCTGTTCCGGAACCGACCGCTCGACATCATCACAGCCTCCGCGAGGCAGCCCGCTCGAGGCCCCAACAGGGACAACGAGGACTATCTGCTCGGGGCCTGGCGAGGTGTGCCGCATCGGAGCCCCGCGGCGGCGGAGGCGCGGCTGCGTGTCTTGATGCGTGCCGTCGACGACGTCTTCGATCGAGCCGAGGCCACCCTGGCGTCCACGTCCTACCAGTCGCGCTGCTGGCTCACGAGCTACCGGAAGGGCGCGTTTTGGAACCGCCCGCTCCGTATCACGCCGCGGCGAACGGAGGAGGGCTATAAATCGAAGTGGAAGCGCTTCATCTGCTACATCTTCCGGGTCCTTGCGCTAGAACCGCGGCAACGCCGGCAGATATATAACGTGCCGTTACGCGCAGATGACATCAAGATGATGCGCTATATCTTAGGCCTCGCATCGCAGCTCGCGGAGGGAGGGGAGGACGGCGACAACGAGAGCGACAATGAGAGTGACAATGAGAGCGACAACGAGAGCGACAACGAGAGCGACAACGAGAGCGATAATGACGAGGAAGAAGAGGACGAAGATAATGAAGATACTGATGGCGATGACGACGACAAAGACGGCTCACAGGACGAAGGCGAACAGGAAGACGACAAGGAGGATCACAGCTCGGCTCAGTCTACTTTCCGCCCTCATAGAGGTACTCGGCTCGAGCTATCCGAGGCACTCTTCCAGCTCTCGATGATGTTCTGGACGTACCAAAGCCAAGACGGGGTAATGGCCTCGTCGACAATAATACATTTCACGGCGGTTATGGGAGTCCACCGTTCCTCTCTAGCGTACCGTGACGCATATAACTCGACACCGGATCTCGCAGCCCTCATATGGGTAGGGCGGCTATTCTTCCTCGAGTATAGCCTGCCGCTATATAGCTACGACACCCTCGCGTATGTCTGGCCGGCCCGACGCACTTACCCATCGCAGCCAGAACGTCTTGAGGCGATCCGGGCAAAGTACATGCTAAGAGGTTGTCATTCCCCTCTTAGCGAGCTAGTCGAGCTAAAAGCTTTCGGAAAAAGTATTATTAGACAGGAAGGTTCTCGGGGTAACTTAACCTGGGCTCTAGACGGCCGCTCGTTCACGATCGGTGACGACAAGGTAGTACGGCTGTCCGAGTTCTGCGCCACCTACCAAGCCGCGATTGCACAAGTACGAGAGCTAGTCGCCGAGATGATGCTAGGGTGGGAGCCTACGGTCGACCTCTCCACGATCCGCGACGACCTAACCTGCCGGCAGCCGGGCTGGTGCTTCCTCGATAAACCGGAGAATAACCTAGCGGGCACCTACAAGGCGATGGCACGCCGCGCGTGGTCTTCCTCCTTCCGCGGCCAGGCCCTTGCTAAGGCAGGCCACTGGTTGCCCGGCCCGTGCCTGGCATACCTGGGAGCGGGCGTGGAGCTTACCACGATGGGCTTCTCCGCGTCCCACGTAACGGCGGGACTACCGGGCCGGGGCACCGAGACGACGAGTATCCGGTTTCGAAACACAGAATTAGCCATCAGGAACGTCTTCATCTGCGAGGGACGGGTTATCGTTATCATTAGCTACAACAAAGCTCGCGACTCAAACAACCACGCCTTCTATGTCGTGCGCTACCTTCCGGATGACCTAGACTCTTCTATATTCCTCTATCTAGCTTATATCCGGCCATTCCTCAACTTCCTAGCGAACCAGCTCGAGCTACCGCAGTACCATAGCAACAAGTTCCTCTTTCCGGACCCAAAGCATGAGAAGAGGCATCTTACCTCCATACAGGCAACGGCGGCCCTGAGGAGCCTAACCCAGGATCTACAGACGCCGTGGACGATATTGCTATATCGACAGGCGGCGATTGCTATTGCAAAGCGGCATATTAGTGACCTTATAAAGAAGAGGAATTTCTACTACCCGTCCGACGCTAGCACGCCAGTGTGAACGGCCTCTAGTAACTGTATTCCAGCTATCTAGTCCAGGATGCTATTTACATCAAAGATGAAGAAGAAAGAAAGAAGTTCCTAAATGCCCCTGAGCTGTGGAACGATTTCTCATCCCTGGCGCGCACGAGCCAAGTACGTCTTGTGGCACAGCCGCAAGGATATGGGCCCTGGCCCGTGACAATTACTTATAAAAATTCAGTTTATAATATATAGTAAGAATAATTTAATTTTATCTCTAATAGTTAATATTAATATAGTACCTAGGTTACCTAATTTCCCTTACTATTAGTAGGCTAGGTTTAATAACTTTATAATAAGAGTAACGTGCATGATAAGCGAGTGAGCCAGACAAGCGAGTGAGCCACCTAACCTGTCACGGCACCAGACTTCCCGGTAACCCTAATCCTGGGTCTGGTCCCAGCCCCACTAGCTAGCTGCACTTAGCCTCGAGCTCCAAGCTCCCGTAGCTCTTGCCTCTTCATGGCACAACAAGATACCTTCACCCAGTCCTAGGTTTGCCCCGTGACATAACCACAATTTCGCGGCCACCCTCATTCAAATTAACATTCCTCAACCGACAATAATGAGTTCACCCAATAACGAAAGGAATATGCTCTTAGCTATTCAAGCTATTCAAAACGACCCAAATCTAAGCGCACGAGCCGCCGCAAAGATCTATACAGTCAGTCGGGCTACACTTAATCGACGGCTTCAAGGAACAGCCTCCCGACGCGATACTATACCCAAATCGCGTAAGCTTTCAGATCTAGAAGAGCAGACAATTGTTGAGTATGCCCTTGATCTAGATTCGCGATCATTTCCTCCCCGGCTTTGTGATGTGGAAGATATGGCCAATCGATTACTTGCTGACCGCGACGCGCCTGCGGTCGGCAAGCGCTGGGCTTCAAACTTTGTCAAGCGACAACCAGAGCTGAAGACGCGTTTTACGCGTAAATATGACTATCAGAGGGCTCAATGCGAAGATCCGAACATTATTTGGGGCTGGTTTCAGCTTGTGCGGAATACAATCGCGAAATATGGTATCGTGGAGTCAGATATCTACAATTTTGATGAGACTGGGTTTATGATGGGCATTATCTCAACTGGAATGGTCGTTACGATCGCTGAACGACGTGGGAGGCCGAGAATGGCCCAGCCAGGAAATAGGGAATGGGTTACTGTAATCCAGGGTGTTAATTCCCAAGGGTGGGCGATCCCGCCGTTCATCATTGTTGCAGGTCAATATCACCTTGCAGCCTGGTATGATGAAAGAACTCTACCACAAGACTGGGTTATCGCAACCTCGGATAACGGCTGGACAACAAACGAGAGAGGCCTAGAATGGATCCAGCACTTTGACAAGCATTCAAAGGCGCGTTCCTCTAGCTCTTATCGCCTTCTTGTGTTAGATGGGCATGAGAGCCATCATTCCACCGAATTCGAACTGTTCTGCAAGGAGAATAAGATTATTACTCTCTGTATGCCACCGCATTCATCTCACATCCTCCAGCCACTTGATTTTGGTTGCTTTGGGCCACTTAAGCAGGCCTACGGTCGACAAATCGAGGATATGATGAAGACCCGAATCACCCATATTACCAAAGTTGACTTCTTTCCTGCATTTCAAGCTGCATTCCGAAGCGCAATATCGGAAAAAAACATCCAGGGAGGTTTTCGAGGTACAAGACTTGTTCCCTATATCCAGAGAGTGTGCTTTCTCGCTTGGATGTAAAGTTGCGGACTCCATCGCCTGCAGAGGGGGATCTCGAGCTGCCCAACCTCTGGGTTCCAAAGACCCCAAACAACCCGATTGAAGCTACTTCACAAACTGATTTTATTAAAACTCGAATCAGCCGTCATCAGGGAAGCTCTCCGACATCTATTTTAGCTGCCATGGATCAATTTGCGAAGGGGGCGCGAGGAATAATGCACCAGATGGCATTATTGAAGGCAGAGGTCAGCGAGCTTCGGGAGGCAAATGCGACACTTAGCCGGCGGCGCAGGGCGAAAAAAACACGTCTACGACTTTCTGGGAGCATGACAGTAGCTGAGGGACAGGAGCTACAAGATCAAAGGGAAATTGCTGATCAGATACAGCAGGAAACGCAGCAAAGTGGTGGTCGGGAGAGGCGGACAGAGACAAGGGAACGGCGATGTGGAAGATGCAGAAAACCCGGGCATAATGCGCGTACTTGTGAAATTGATGTAGATGCGTCTGGAGAAGAGGATGATTATTGATTTTAATTGATTTTGGGTATTGTGGTTGTTTTATTATGATATTTACTGGCGAGGGTGTGGTTTGGTGAGTCGCTCGCTTGTCTGAGTCGCTCGCTTATCATGTACGTTAATTGCGACAATAATTGCGACAATATTTCAGGCCAGTGGCGTCGAAGCGTACCGCCCAAATAGGAAGTATCGATGACTGTAACCCCAAAATCACCCAATCAGATTGGGCAGTCTGGGTCCACTCATGCTCAGCACACATCGACAGCAATGTGAGCTAGGGTCCCTGGATGCCATTACATCGTCAGCCGGCTTCATCCCAGACATTGGGACTCGAAATGATCAACCATGCATCGCGGCACTGACAGACGAAGGTCCGCACACCTCCACTACCACGGGGCACCCGACCTCAGGAACCTCACGGAGCTCACCTCCACCTCGGCGCGATTGACGTGGACGACTCCGGCAGTGTTGCTAATAATATGACAATAAATATGGTTAGGCAAAAATATGCTTGAAATGAAGGTACATCAAGAGACATAGAAAATTGGCTGCGTGCGGATGTATCTTCTTTTTGCGTCTCAAGGTCGTTTTTGCTGGTCAACGGACCCCCCGTCCGAGGTACGAATTGCGGGGACGGCCGACTTGAAGGCCCCTAGTACTCATGGGTTTTGTCAATGACTGAACCCATTTACGCACGAGACGTAATGGATATGTGGCCGCACCATCCGTTCCTTTGCATTGTCGGTCCCCTAGGCCGCTTTCCATCACAATTGGTGCAGGCGCCTTCCCCGTATCTGTGGGAAGCGAAAGCTGACGGCCTGGGTGCGGTTCATCTAGTGATGTTTTGCCGATGTAGCACTCCTCGTCTCGTAAGGCATCAGCTCGGCAGTGGTGGCAGAAGGAACGTTGCGGTGGGGCGACCGGTAACCCTTGTAAGATATGATATCTGCCGTATTTGTTAGCAACGAACGCGGAAGTGTGTGAACTTCGGTCGAATTGCATTCGCTGCCAACCAAGCTTGGCGCCTATTTTCTTCAGCCTGCTAGCTTTTCGTCTACGTCGTGAACCAGTGGCGGAAGAAACGCCATAGCTACACTCAGTTGTCAGGGGTATGGTTGAGAATGTCATGGGCTCAGTGTTAAGAGAGACGGTCGAGCTACCGCTGTCGGCAGTCATGCTATGGTCAGCACTGAGGATATCCTTCGGAATCCCACACAGTAGCAGTGTTGCTAATAATATGACAATAAAACAATATATTGCAATACATACAATACAATATGCGTTTTCTGATATTGTACCAATATAATACGCAGGTTGTGATATTGTGACAATACAATATAAGGTTATCCCATACTGGCAATATATCGTCTGTATTGGCTGGCGGATCTTCGGGCAAAATGCACTTGTTTTGTTGACAATTAACGTCGACATGTGGGGACGCGTGCGAAGAAAACGCGTAACTGGTTTATTGTTTTACGTCAGGGGCAAGAAAACGCATAGTGAAAGTATAAATTCATGGTCTACAGGGTAGGGTATCGTTCACGGGCAGCCCCTCGAGATCCTCTTCTGTCACTCTACAGAGGACTACTGACAACCTCCATGCCTCAACAACGCCTGCGTTTTATTCAAACGTCGTAACGAAGAGGGTTGTCAATATCAGACGACTTTTCGGAGCTCTCCAGTCAGCAATTACATGACCCAGACGAGAGCCAAACCTCCAATTGCTAATTGTTGCGACCTCGCACAGTCTCTAGAACCTCCTTGGCCAAGCCAAGAACATGATGGGTCTTCTCCTATATGCCAGACGAGGAGATAGAGACAAGATACTACAATCAACGGACCGGAAAAGAAGAGTGGCGCTGTAAGCATTGTGACAAAACGTATTCCTGTTCTGGTGGAACTGCCGCTCCAGCCAAGCACCTTACAGATCCTCTTCCTGATGGTCATGGCCTCCCAAAAGGCGCCCCCCGAACAGCTAAAGTCATAAATATACGAACTATTCTCGAACAAGCTCGTTTTACGGCCGATGAAAACCCCCGAAAACGCCGTCGGCTCAACGATCAATCCGGAGACTCGATCGACCCAAACCAGCTCGAAGTGTTATACGTAAGGTTTATTACGGCCTGTTCTCTCCCATTTCGGCTTGTGGAATGCCCAGAGTTCCGAGCACTCTTGGCTTGCCTCAATACCGATATCGATACTTGGCTTCCAGATACACACGAGACCATCAAGAAATGGATTATGCGGCAGTATGAAGGCCAGAAGGAGAAGGTCAAGCAGCGCATACAGTCGGCAAAGTCAAGGATTCATATCAGCTGCGACCTTTGGACTTCTCCCAACTCTTTGGCTATCTTAGGCGTAGTCGCTCACTACCATGCCCCACCACCCTTTCGGACGCCCCACCCTTTCGGACAGCAAAAAATCCACCAGCCCATATAAAACTCAACCACATCACTTATAGAGATTAGGCTCAAATTTGAAGTTATTCGCAAAGCCGTCGCCTTCAACGATTATAAAAATGACTGAAGATCATTATACACAATTTGTTTGGTTGATTGGGACTCTGGGGAACGTGCGCACCCTGTCCTGCAATATTGGTTGACAGCCACCAAATTTCCTCCTGAATTCACTCGACTCTCTTTCTCCCAATCTTCAACAATGTCATCACAATGACTCGTAAAAGGCCTCGACACGTTTATTCAGAAGAAACGATTGCTAACGCTATATCAGACGTCACAAACAAGCGTCTATCCCTCACCAAGGCTTGTCAGAAGTGGGGAGTGCCAAAGCAGACCGTCTCCGATAGACTCAACGGACAAGGTGCCTTAGCCGATCAGATTCAGCCAAAAGCACGTCTCTCCAAGAATCAAGAAGCTCATTTAGTCTCCTGGATTCTTCGTCAAGAGTCTTTGGGTTATGCTCCCTCTCACAGTCAGATTCGTGCCTGTGTCGTGGCCCTCCTGAATCAACAAAATGACAAAGGGATATTGGGGGCCAACTGGGTAGCCAGATTCATCAATCGTTATCCAGAGATCAAGACCAAGCGCGGAAAACGTCAAGAAG